CGGTCAAGCAGGGGCGGAAGTGCCTTAGTACGAGTACGAGTACTCGGCGCCTCCCGAGAGCCACTCTCGTCCGAGTGCTCCGACTGCGGGTCCGACACAGGACCCTGAGGTTGACCGCCTCCGTCAACGTGTCCTCGTGCTTGAGATTGCACTTGGCCTTGGGACAGGCGGTAATGCTGCCGCCCAGGCCGGGAATCAGGGCGAGCTCGCTCGTCTTGCGGGCCGCCTGGACCTGGTGGAGCGAGCGGTCGCGAGCCTGCACCTGCGGGTGGATTGCCGGGCCTCTTCGTCCGATCTGGACGAGGCCTTTCGCATGATCCGACGGATCGAGGCTTTCTTGCCACGTCCGGAGCCGCCTGCGGCACACTCCCAGACGTACGCGTATGGTGCGTACCCGGCGTACTCAGCGTACTCGGCGTATGGCGCCGGGGTCCGTTCGTATGGAGCCCCTCCGGCGTACGGTCTTGACCGCAGCCTTGCCGTCCCGACCGAGGCTTGGGTGCCTGCTCCGACGACCTCGTCGACGACTGTGACCGGCCCTCGCTTCGAGGAGCTGGGTCAAGGGGGTCTGCGAGTCAGCAACCCCCTGCGGGTCAAAGTACCGCTTAAGACGTCCGACATAGAACGTCGGGTGCGTCGTCATTGACTTTGGAAGGTCGATGGTGTACGACGCACCATGTCTGGCCAGGACTGCAAAAGGTCCGATGAAGCGGTGTTTCAGCTTGTTGCCGCCGACAGAGCTGACAGTGTCAAGAGGTAGGTTCCTCGTGTCTAGCAACACTAAGTCCCCAACCTCAAATATACTTAAGTTTCCTCTTCCATGTTTGTATGAGTACTCCTTTTGTTTTTCTTGGGCCGCTGCCATGGCATCGCGGACCCTGCTGACAATTCTCAGCTTGGTATCCATAAAGGATTCCACCTGTTTCCGCAGCGAAACGGGCCTCACATCCGAGACCTGGGAGGAAAGGGCTTTCCGAGCCTCTCCCCCACTTAGAATAGAGAAGTCAGTGTATCTTTGAAGAGTGAGAGGCACTCTGGGGTGGCGGAAGCCGTTTAAGTAGAACGGCGTGAACCCCGTGGACGCATGCACTGCGTTGTTAAGCGCAAACTCAACAACTGGAAGCTGCGTCGACCACGTACGTGGTGCTGCCGCGCACACACTGCGCAGAGTGTCCTCGAGCACTCGATTGACGCGCTCTGTTTGGCCGTCTGTCTGCGGATGGTCCGCAGTGGACATCTGCAGACGTGTTCCCAGTAAAGGGAACAGCGTTTTCCAAAACGCAGCAGTGAACGCGGGTCTCGGTCCGAGACAATCGTCTCCGGGAGACCGTGATAGCGGAACACGCCATCGACGAACACTTGCGGTTTGTTCGCCCGTAACAGTAACGGGAAACCCGAGCAAGATGTATCATCCTTGCTCAGCCGACACACGAACACCAAAATTCCGGTGCTGGCGTGTGCGTCGGCGGGAAGCCCAAAGATGAAGTCAAGACTCATCGACTTCCAACAGTCAGCCGGTACGGGCAGGCTCTGTAGTGGAGCCGAAGCGTGGCCCTGCGGGTTTGACCCGCTGACATGTTTCACATGTCTTAACGTATTGGGCGACCCACTTGTACATGGGGGCCCACCAGAAGACCTGAGAGACCGACAGAAAGGTATTCTCGCGGCCCAAGTGGTCGCTGGAGGGCGCGTCATGCGCCTCCGCGAGGATATCGAACTTCAGATCCTCGTCGTTGGGTACGACCACCCGTGGAGGTTCATTGGGCTCCACCCGGTAATAGAGGAGGTCATCCTTCAACTCATATCGGTGGAGCCGTGAGCGCTGTCGCGACGAGAGCCAGTCGGACTTCGCGCTCGTTCCTGCCATGAGGAACTTCACGATAGGCGCGACAGCCTCATCGTCCCGATACACCATGCGTATCCGATCATATAGATCCGTTGTCACCCGTGTGATGTGGGCCAACTCATAGTCAGGACGCCGAGAGAGGGCGTCCGCAAGCACGTTGAGCTTGCTCGGCTTGTACTCGACGCGGAAGCTGTACTCCGCGAAGAAGGACAGCCACCTCGCCATCCTTTGGGAGAGGTTAGGCGAGTTAGTCGCCGTCCTCAAAGACGCGTGGTCAGTGTAGATCACGAAGGGCCTCGGGCCCAGGAGGTGAACACGAAACTTCACTAGGGCATATTTCGTTTCCAGGAGCTCCTTGTCGTCGACAGGGTAGTTCCGCTCGGCGGCTTTGAGCTGCCTGGACTGGAACGAGATGACTCGTTCATGTCCAGCCGTGTCGGCTTGCAGCAATGCACACCCGATGGCGTAATCGGAGGCATCGCAGACGACGCTAAAACGGCTTCGTCTCGTCCGGCAGGGCCAGGACAGGGGCCTCATGGAGACTGGCCTTGATGCTGTCAAAACCATCCTGGTGCTCTTGGTCCTAGTGCCAGTCGACGTCCTTCTGAAAAAAGCCCGACAAGGGCTTAGCAAAGCCCGCGTACCCTGCGCTGTACTTATGAAGGTAGTTGCCCAAGCCCAACCACTTTCGAAGATCCTTTTGGGATCGGGGCGTCGGCCATACTGCTATGGCCTTGGCCTTGTCTGGGTCAGCCCGAACGCCCACGTTGCTTACGAAGCAACCGAGAACTTTAATCTCTGGTGACGCGAAAACGCACTTGTCGATGTTGGCGTAGAGCTTGTTCGCTCGTATTACGGCCAACACTCGACGGAGGTGTCCTAGATGCACCTCCATGGCTGTCTTGTCTCCCTCGGCACGGCTATGGACGAATATGTCGTCGAAGTACGTCTGTACGATGGGCGGAACAGCTGCGTCACCAGGCGATTGAACGTCGCCGGGGCGTTAGACAAACCCTGCGGCATGACGAGCCACTCCCAAAGCATGCCGCTTGGAGTGCTTATTGCGGTGAGCGGGATGTCACTCTCCCGCATTAGGATTTGGTAGTATCCGTCTACCAAATCCAGCGCACTGTACAGTACGCTCCCGGCCATGTTGTTTAACAACACATCCTTTCATGGGATTGGTGTTTGGGCCGGCACCGTTGCGTTGTTCAGCTTGTTATAAGCGTGAACCAGACGCCACTTTCCGTTCGGCTTCCGAACGCAGAAAGTCGGCGTCGAGTGCGGGGATTTCGACTCCCGCACCATGCCTGCCTTCGCTTTCGCGGCGAAGAAGGCATCAATGACCTCGCACTGTTCGCGCGAGAGAGGCCATTGCCTCGTGACACAATACTTTGTGCCGGGCACGAGATCAATCTCATGCCGTACGCCTCGATCCGGTGGGAGTTGGGTCGGTGGGTGTTTGTTCACCACGTCCGCATACTCCGTCACCAAAGGGTACACCGGATCCTTGGGGTTCTAAAGGATCTCAGAACCCAAGCGCGTCTGACGCGGCTTGTTTAGGTCTTCCAGGACGTTTTCGTCCAAGCCAGAGGAGGAGTTCAGTTCCTCCCGAGTGGTCTCAGGTCTCATGAGCACCATCTCAGCAATCTCTCCAGCCTTGAGGTTGGCCAGGAAAGACTCGACCGTCATTTCCTCGAGGTTCAGTATCTCTGCAACCTCTGGCAACGGTTTCAAGTGGACACCAGATGTCTCGACGGGTAAACCGGTCTCTCCATCAAAGATGTGATGACACTCTTCCACCGGCCTTGTCGGAGGAGCCCGGTTCCTGGGACTCCGAGTCGCTTGAAGCGACGTCGATCGGAACGGGGTGCGGGATCCGACTTGAGGCGGCGGCGGCGTCGTTTGATGACGGCGACCGTGACGTCGATCTTTGCTGCCCACACTCTAGGGGATGTCGGGCGCTACGACATCCCGAAGGCATTCGTGGGCCTCGTGTGGTACTATGGTACCTACACAGGAAGCGTGTTTCGACGCCTTCCCTCTTCAGTTAAGGGTCTGGGCCGACCGCGCGTGGCCACTTTTGTTACCCACACAGGAAGCCGTATCCGACGTCTTTCGTTCTTCAGTTTAAGGTCTGGGTGAACTGTGAGTGGAACTTCTGTTTACCCACTTCCGAGGCACGCTTGTTTCTCAGTTGTTTCCGTGGCAG